GTTCTAAATACATTTCACAAGCTCCCCAGGCCTGGGGCCTTGCTAGGGGAAGCTGCCTGCGATCATGTGTCTGCAGCTCAGCACAGTCTGTGTCAGAAACTCCGAGAAGGACCCTCGGGGAGCGAAACTGTGGCCCAATCTGGGGAATGAATAAATGTCTTGAAGGGGCCCCCACCCGTCCCCCGGGAAAGCCAAGCGCTAGCCCAGCCCGGCTCAGCCTTGACTGGTACCTTCCTCTTCTGCTGACAAAAGGATCCAGCGGCAGGACTTGGAGAAAGGGCCTGTGTTTACAGCTTAGTCCAATCAGCTGGGGCGCAGCTGCCGCCCCAGCCCCATTCTGTTTGCACAGAACAATCTTGTTTACCGTTTGGCCAAATGGCGGGCTTGTGCGGGCCGCGGGGCCCCTGGTTGAGCAATTGCATCCTATGGGGTTTATGGCAAATGACGCGTTTGCTAAATCAACGTGGACCACACGCACCAGGCCCCGCGGGGGAGGAGACCTGAGATGGCCAAGGGGCGTTTATGGATGCACCCGCGGGCACGCGCGCAGGCATCCCCGTGGTTTCCCAGGTAACCATCCGAGGCTGCTTAAACCCAGAATGAGAGCATGGACCGATCCATCGCACTCCCCATTCAGGTTGTTAATCTTTTTTCCAAAGTTTAATTATGAAAATCAAACTAGAGATTTGTGGGGTGTGCGGGCCCATGGGAACTCCTTTTATCTGAAAATAGACTCCCAAGAAAGAAATCTGGCCCTGGCCAGTGTGGTTCAATGGATAGAGCAGTGGCCTGAGTACCGAAGAGTCCCGGGTTCGATTCCGTTAAAGGGCACATGCCTGGGTTGCGGGCTCGATCCCCAGAAGGGGGCGTGCAGGAGGCAGCCAATCCGTGACTCAGTCTCATCCTTGATGTTTCTCTCTCTTCCTCTCCCTACCTCTCTGAGATCAATAAAAATATATATTAAAAAAAAAAAAGAATGAAGGCTTGGTCGTCTCTGTAGAGCTCGCGTGCAGGAGGGAGCCGATCCGTGACTCAGTCTCATCATTGATGTTTCTCTCTCTTCCTCTCCCTACCTCTCTGAGATCAATAAAAATATATATTAAAAACAAAAAAAGAATGAAGGCTTAGTCGTCTCTGTAGAGCTCTTGGAATAGCAGCCTAGGTTGCCCCCACCCGGACCCACTCCCTTCCTGGGGCAAAATGGTTCCGCCCCCAAGCCGGCTGCCCCCATAGGAGTTTGGGGGGAAAGGGGGCGCAGAAACAGCCAATCTGTCCGTCTCCCTGCTTCCGTTTACTGGCCAGGGTGGCTGAGGATTTGTGCGTCCTGCCAACTCTCCCCCCCACCGGCTCCTTAGCAGGGCCCCTCACTGGGAACCCCTCGCCTCACCCCAGAACCCCAGAGTGGCCCAGTAAACCCCCCAATGCAAATTGGATCCTGTCCTTTCCCCGCCCCAAATCTGCTCCCCCCCCACACACACACATCACTGCGGCCAGACTGCTATGCCCACGGGGCCCCCACAATCCAGTCCCAGCCTGCCTGTCCTAGTTGGGTCCCTCCTGGTCCTGAGCCTAACCCTGACCCTGACCTTGACCCTGACCCCACCAGGGCCAAGCTGCCCTGAGGAATGGCCTCCAAGCGCCAGCTTAGGGCAGAACTTCATCCCGAAAGTTAGAAACCACACAGGAGATGGCGAATGCACCTGACTCTAAAAGTAAGAAACATCCATGGGAAAATGATCTCCAAGGTCAAAAAAATGGAGTCAGCTTGGAAGAAAATAAAAAAATAAAAAGATCTTTGCGATAAGTGAGAGACAAATGGCTCACTTACCTTGTATACAAAGAATTTGTACCACCCGGCCGGTGTGGCTCAGTGGTTGAGCGTTGACCTATGAACCAGGAGGTCATGGTTAGGATTCCCAGTCAGGGCACATGCCCAGGTTGCAGGCTCCATTCCCAGTGGGGGGGCGTGCAGGAGGCAGCCGGTCAATCAATGATTCTCATCATTGATGTTTCTCCCTCTCTCCCTTCCTCTCTGAAATCAATAAAAATATATTTTAAAAAAATACAAGAACTTCTCTCCCTCCCTGGAGTCCAGGGGAGGAGGGGCGCTGATACTGGTCTCTGCACCCCCATTCCTAGGATCCCCCCAACCAATTTCACTAAATTCTCAGGAGCAGTTCCCTCACCCGCAGCCAGGGGGCGCCCCCACTCTCCTGCCTGGCCCAGCCTGGACAAGACCAAGACGGGGGAAATGGCTGTCCCTGGCCTCCTGGCATCTGAGAAGAGCTTGTGGGCTTGATGAGTTTACTTTGCTGAGTAGCCCCAAGTACGATCCGCTTGTGGCTGCGTGTTGTGTGGACGTATGTCAACACGGATGCCCACGCTGCCGGGGCCCAAGGAGCCCGAGGAAGGTACGGGTGGCTATAAGCGGGTCAGGGCCACTAGCTGAGCTCCAGAGCTGGGTTTGCTCTGTTTCTATTTTTTATTTTTTTAATTGATTTCTGAGAGGGAGAGAGAGAGAGAGAGAAGCATCATTGATGAGAGAGAACCATGGATCGGCTGCCTCCTGCACGCCCCACCCTGGGGATCAAGCCCGCAACCCGGGCCTGTGCCCTGACTGGGAATCGAACCGTGACCTCCTGGTTCCTAGGTGGATGCTCAACCCCTGAGCCACGCCGGACGGGCTGCTCTATGTGACTGTGCCTGATGAATGAATGGAGACTCGAGTCACAGGCTCCCACAGCAACCAAGCCCTCACAAGAGGCCCGGAGAAAGCCTCACACCACCGCCTCCTCTGTGGAGGGGTGAGCGTGGAGCGGGCACGGGACTTCCGTCTGCCCTTGATTCCTGGCCTGGGGTCTGCCCTCCTCTTCACCAGCTACTCTGACTGCTCAGGAATGGGTGGGCGGATGGGAGGGTGGATGGGTAGATGGACAGATGGAAATCTCCAGGACTGAGGCCCCTGACAAGAGCTCGCAGTGGTGGGGGGTCTGAATGGTCCTCTATAAACAGACCCGGGCGGTCAGAAGCCGTCTTCATTGACCAGGGGACGAACGGTTCCCAGGCAACAAGCCCTGGGAACCCCCCACGCAGATGCCTTTTTCTCCTGCTGTGATGTTGGCCGGGGAACTCAGCAGCAAGAGAGAAGCGGAGAGGGGGGGTGCCTGGCCTCCCAGAATGTGCAGCCGGAAATGACCTTGACCTTCTCCCACCCCCGTGGTGCTTGGGAAACAAAGGCCCAGAGAAGCAGCCAACCCCGAGAAGTGTGTTGTTACCAGGGGCAACGCGGCCCAGGCGCTCCTGGCTCCCAAGCCTGGGAATCTGTCCTTGCTCCTCCGCGGGTGGGTGTTTGTTTCGGTTTTTGTTTTGTTTTTTAAAGGCTGAAGCAGATCGGTTTTTAAAATGCGGCCCCAGGACCGGGCACCCCTGGCGGACAGCCTGAAAAGGCAGATTGGGGCGGAGCGTCCACACCGTCCAACAAGGACCCTCCTGGGTTCCCAGACACCGGGCACCGTGTGCAGGAGGCAGCCGATCAAGGATTCTCTCTCATCATTGATGTTTCTCTCTCTCTCTCCCTCCTTCTCCCCCTCTCTCTCCTTTTCTCTCTGAAATCAATAATGAAATATATGTGTGTTTTTAAATTATATTCTTTTATTTTCAATCCTCACCAGAGGATATTTTTCCCATTGATTCTTAGAGTGGAAGGAAGGGAAGAGGGAGGGGAAAGAGAGAGAGAGAGAGAAACATCAACGTGAGAGACACACCGATTGGTTGCCTACCACACCTGCCCCAACCAGGGCTGGGGCTCAAACCACAACTGCGGTATGTGCCCTTGCCCAGGAATTGAACTTGAGACCCTTCATTCCCTGGGTGGATGCTCTAACCACTGAGCACCCGGCCAGGGCTCCATCCACTCTTTCTGCCCTGAGCATCTCACTGGGCAAATGTGAAGGCTGGTTGAACTGACCAGGGATAGACACCTTCTCCTTCTTCTCCTTTTTCTCTTCCTCCTTCTCCTCCTCCTTCTCCTCTTCCTGCTCCTCCTCCTCCTCCTTCTTTTTGTTGATTTCAGAAAGGAAAGGAGAGGGAGAGAGAGACGTTGATGAGAGAGCAGCTGCCTCCTGCACGCCCCCTACTGGGGATCGAGTCAGAAACCCAGGCATGTGCCCTGACCGGGAATCGAACCATATGGAGCTTTAGTCTGGGATCCTGGGGACAGATGGTGATGCCTGACGATCGTGCAACACTGGAAATGCGCCCACTGGGAATAGGTGACATGAAGCTGTCCACTCTTTTAAGTGAAATGCTTAAAAGGGTACATTTTGCATCGTGTATGTTTCACCGCAATAAGAACAAGGCGGTCTTACTTCTGTAAATAAAC